TGGTTGATAGCTCAATACAGCGGTACATATCCCTTAGCCTCAGTACATGTACGAAGTACCTGTCCACAGGCGCACTCGCTCGTAGGGCGGAATGGGGGCCGGGAGCGAACCAGGAGCGAACCAGATGGCAAGGGACCTGAGACCACCACCCACACCCACGGCAAATCAAAGTATCGTCTTAATTCTTCCATTTGCGCGAGGCGTTCTTCTTTACTGTCGTTGGGCGCATTTCTCTCAGCCCCAGCCCGCAGGGCAGTTTTACCTCTCCACTGCAACTTTGCAACTGGAACTCCCGACCGACCGTCCTCGACCTCAGACTCAGAGTAACCTCGGACCTCACACACTCATCCCGTCACCCACTCCCCGTCTTACACTTGCGCCGCCGTATGAGCAGGGATCCAATACCTACATCCATCCCACCTCATGTCTGCCATCTGGCAGCCCACCACATCTTGTCGCACAGATGCAAGCTACTGTGGCTTACTTCTGTCCCTCCACTTAGGTCACGCTCTGCTCTTACGCTCAGCGTCCGTCGCTGCACCTCACAGTACCTTAGTAGATGGGTGGCTGGATTCTTGTCCCTGGGCTTGATAATGCCACAAGATGAGTGTCATCTCGACCTCGACACGACATTCGGTCATCGACCATCGATAAACCTTGGGTCAGCCTGTGTTCACCGAGAAGGCAGATTTCCACTTCCGGCCCTAGCTTCGTATGGTCCCTCTCACATTCTATCACCGATGCTGTCCGCCTAACACCTCATACCGACCACATACCAAACCCTTGAAAAGCGCTCGTCAGACTTACCGGCTTGCAGACGCTTGATGTCATCCGACGGCATGTGCTTCTCGCTGAAAAGCTGCGGTAACGTACGAATGCATGCCCTTGTGGCAGATGCTACGGATAGGCATCAGCCCCTAAACAGAGTGCCGCGAATATCGACAATTGTTTCCGCTTAAGGGTCGCTCATCCATATGGCAGCAGAAACGCTTTCAGCTCGGTCGCCATATCGCTCTCGCATTCAAGAGTCTAAAAAGCGAATAACCCCCATTATCCGCTCTGCACAGGGCACGAAATACTGGGGAAAGCGACATTGGCTAGTGGGGCCTAGCACCATTATGCACAGCCGCAGCCGCCGCGATGGAACTCGGATATTTCAGTCGAGTTGGGGATCCTGGGCGAAGCAGAAGCGCTGTGTTTTTGAGCTTGACCGCTAGCCTGGCGGTGCACTCCGCCAGTCGCCGCTCCAAACCCGCGGCATCAGGGTTGCGCAGCGCCATAAACATCCCCGACCCGTCCGTCCATATCGGCGACGCCTCGCGCGTTGCATTGAAATACCGGCGTTTTAATGCTCGCTTGTTGGTCTCCGTGTCTTATCTGCGGCTAATAATGATGCTCCCGCAGACCTTGATATGTATATTTATTCGTGCTCTCGGAGTGTGCCTCGAGTGAAGTCCCCATCTTCCGCCTGATCCGCGAATGGTGGGCAAGTCTCCATTAACGAGCGCCTTTCGTAAACGCGATCTCTCGGCGGTTAACTAGATTAATGCTCATCTATGAGGCATGTTCTATCGCGAAATAGACGCAGCGAATGTGTCGGTTCGACACGATGCCGAGTATGGAAAACTTTCGGCGACCTGGAACCATGAATGGACACCAAGACGCATGGATCATAATGCTAACGGATGACCTAGACTTGGACCAGACTTCTGTCAAGTCTCCCAGGTCCTGAGAACCTCTCGAGATCTCGACATAAGTGCTATACACAAAAGAGCATGTAACCAAACAATTTTTGCAACAAATCCTGGGTGCATATATCACGGTACCTAGCCAGCCATTCTGCGTCGGCGGAAGAAAGGATTCGAAGTGTAAGAAGGTACGATGAACGCATCTTCGGGGACGTCTTGGGGGCTTATCTAATCACTGCACCTGATCCACCTCGGCGACGTCGTCAACCACCACCAGCACCACCAAGAGCCATGGTGGAGATCACCTGCCCAGAAACTCTAAAGCACTACACTTCAGCTCTCGATCTATCTACCTTACTCTGTATCTCTATGGCGATGGAGCCATTTCAGCCCTGAATTTCGCCATTCGTTGACTTGACTATTCGGCTCCCGCCGCCTTCCAATTGGCTTCGTTTCTTCCAGTGAAGGAGCCGTACAGATACTACGCAGCTGCAAAAGCGGCTCAGTCGCAATCCAATACAGCTCATCGAGACTGCAACCTCGTAGATATCCTGACCCGGACTGCTCGGGGATCAGCATCGTAGTGAAAGAGCCTCTCAAACACTTATCATTACGATGTTTCAGGTTCGTATTCCCATCTCGAAAGAGAGCATCTTCTGCAATGCCACATCGAGGTCTACAGTCACCGATTTTTTTCGTAATGAACTACCGCAGCTCACCATCGCCTTTTCTCATCCTTACAGCCAAACCCCCAAGACCACCTTCACCTGCGCCTCCACCGCGCCCGTTCCGTAATCCTAACCGCCGAGGAGTGAGTCTCAACCTCCGTTCCTCTCAAAAACCTCTCCCATCATTGACAGTATTGACCCTTCCCTCCCCCCGCCAAAAAGACTCGTCGAGATCCGCGCCGCCCAACGAACCTTCGAAGGCGCCTACATGCGCACAGCCCTCTCCCAATTCTCCTTCGCCCTCATCATCCTCAAAATCTTCACCTCGGAATTCTACGCCATCGGCGCCTTGTTCGCCGTCTACGGCGCCGCCGTCATGCTCGTCGCCATTTTCCGCCGCCACGAGGGCAACCGCCAGTTCTTCACGAGTCCCAAGGTGGACGAGGGCAGCGGCGTCGCGAGCGGCGGCGTGGTGCGCAAGTTCCGCACGAGCGGGAACAGCGTCGCCATGCTTACCGTCTTGAGCCTTGCTGCGTATGTTACGCTTTTGGTGCTTACGTGGCAGCTTGTGCAGTGATGTGAGGGGTGAAAGGGGAAGGGGGAGTTGGGTGAGTAAGTAAGCTGGTCTGGGTTTTTGTGGTTTTTTTGTGATGGGAGGATGGAGTTTTGGTGGTTACGGCTGCTCGTATCTCTTCTGTCTATAAAATGTACGAGGTCGCGGTGATTTACTCTCATTAAATCATGTACCCTGAATCTCAGATTCCGATCTTAACCACTAATTAAATCATCAAGGTTCTCCAGAGTAGACCAAAGACAAAGTCAGGGCTTTCCGTGACCTCTCTGTCCTCTGTCATATACTCTCAGCCTAGATATCAGAAACTCAGCGCCATGCCAAACATCCGATGGTCCAGAATCGCAACACAGATGTGGGTGACGGGTATCAGCAATACCAACCATATTGTCACTACCAATGGATACCCATCAACGGTGATCAGGATGTCGAATCCTTGGAGAGGTCTAGTCTCAACAATTAGATACTCGTACGCCTCAGGCAGCCTGTAATTTTGTCAGGGAAATGGGATCTCCGTCTACAACGTCACTAGAGGAAGGGGATTGGAAGGTGTTTTTCAATTATGGGATCTTGATTTGAAGCAAGACAAAGGGGTACACATCACTGATGAAATGTCCGAAACTGGGTTCCCTGTCTCCATACGAAACAAATCGCGTCCAGTGAGAGTAATCCCATCCAAATTCAAACCTAAAGTTACTTGTTCACAGTGTATTTCAGTAAGCTAGACATGTCTCCTTGACCTATCATGCATCATGCGTTGGGACTCGCGGGCATGTGTACCTGAGTGAGTCCAATGTATTTTCCGCCTAGTCTCGACCTTTACCGAACTCAAGGCCGTCTTCCCATCGACTTGGCATTTGGGGTTCATCACCGAATACAAAACCATGGACTGCCTCTCAGGGTAGAAGGGCAAACAGGTAACAGCAACCCTCAGCGCGACCCCTCACTGCAAGAGCCCAACAGGGTTGTGAGCTTGATCTCACAAAGACAAGAAGAGAGCTTGATAGATCCAAAATTAAGTTCAAGAGGACCAGAGAAGAATGAACGGGCTCAATACCAAAATCTGGATTGAAGTATTCGCCATTTCCGAGGAAAGTTCTCGGAGGTTAGGGAATTCTATGTACTGACAAGACGCGCGCTCGAGAGAAAAGAAGGGCAAAGAAACCAAAACGGCTGTATGATAAGAATGTTGAACTGTGCATTGAAGGAGATTTGTTGAAGTGAAGAAGAGAAAACAGAAGAGGAAGCAACTAAAGGCGAGCAACAGGTAAGCGTCATGATGACGCCGGTGGTATAAAATGCGCGTGTCTCCAGACCCGACAAATGCGATCCCTCCCCTTTTTGTTTTCGAAGCCTGCCTCATCCACTTGCCGTCGCTTCTGTACTTCCCATAGCTCCTCAATGCTAGCTGCGAATATAAACACGAAAGGCAAAGGGAAGACTCTTCGTCCGACTGTACGGCGCTGCGGATCACCGCGCCCGGCCCGAATCTCCCGTCTCACGGTGCGTCCCCGAGACAAAAAGTGACCTCGTATTCCGCCTAGGTATAAGTAGGCTCCTCCCCCTCCCCGCTTGCTCGGCATCGACCATGCGCCTTGCGCTCGGGGCCCCGCAACATTCCTTCCGCGATGTGCTTGCATTTAAATCTGACGTCTGCCAGCAACACGTTTCGTGCGATCCCGGCGTTGCAGAGCCGTCATCGGCATGCCAGTGTCCCTTGATCCTCGCTTGAAAATGGGGCATATGGTTGCTGTTGCTTTTGAATCCCTCAAACCCCCATTGATTGCTTTCTGTCGTTTCTCGTTCCAGGGCGGTCAAGGCTACCGTTTGGAACATTTTTTCCGGTTTCGCATGAATTTGAACTACTCTCCTATCTTTTCTACTTAGCCTTATGTTTGCTTAGGGTATTTTATTTTTCTCGTTCTTCTCTCTTTTCTCGGCCATGGGCTCCGTCTCGTCCCCTTTATGCCGTGTGCCAATTTCGATGGAGTTTGAAGCAGAAGAAGGATGTTTGGAACCGGGGTTCTCAGGGCTTTCCGTTGATGATGTAGCAAGGTTGTGGCTAGGAAGTGCCTAGCTTCCGCTACTGTTGTCATAAGCTGTCCAAGTGTCGTATCCCTCGGATGGCCTAGGATAGCCGTAGGGGGGCTGCTGCTGCTGCTGCTGTTGCTGTGGCCAAGTACCGTAACCTGAAGGCGGGTTGGCACCTGCAGACATGGAAACAGTGTGCGGGTCCATAGTTGGGAAACTTGTCGCAATCGGGTTCGTGTACATGTCGGTCGTCATCGCCGCCGAAGACCTTCTGGGGAACTGCCGGCCCTGGTGTGACATCGTGGGGTACTGTGTAGGTATCTGTGTGCCTCTTGGGTATGCCATAGGGTTCCCTAATGTGAATGACGAATAGCCCATATTGTTTTGAGCATTGATGTCTGCGTTGCTCCAGCTGGCCGACGGTGGGGCTTGAGATGTATACGGCGAGAACGACGGAGACGGAGTAATCGGGGACTGTTCAGCGTAAGACTTCTTCGTTTCCTTCAAGTCACCTGACTTTGTTGCATAGTTGGAACTAACATCTGGTGATGCCCAGTTCGTGATTTGGGGATTCGCAAAATCGTAGGGCTGAGAAGACGCTGTAGTGCTCGAGACAGGCACTGTTCGCTTGTTAGCTATTTGACATGTCTCCGGGATGCGTGGAAACTGGCCTGTGGGGTCCTGACCAAGATTTACGGCTGCAGAAGTCTGGATAGTTGTCGGTAGTACGTTTTGTGACGAGGGCAGAACTCCTCCTTGACGGTGCTGATAGTGTTGGGATCCTTCTGGGGCTTGTCCAGGAAGTACAACGGGAGAAGACGATGCGGAAGCGGTGTTAGATCCCCCGCCAGGTCTCGATTGCGCTTTGGGTTTTGCTTCAGTCATTTGAGACGGCGCCTGGTCCACAGGGAAGAAGCTACAGTCCTTTTTCAGCCTGATGCAGTTCCTACATCGGCCATCACCTTGTACCTCTGACATTATGCACCGAATTTTCCGCCTGCGGCAATGTCCTTGACGTTGCTGCCGTCAGTACAAATTTAGAAGAGACTCGAGAGGACGGGCACAACACTTACCACAAGCTACCGAGGTCCGGTGATAGCCCAGCTTGTTCCTCTTCTTGTCCCCAGCTTGGCCAGACTGACTTGAATCAGAGATATTGGCCTGCCGCAGTCTGACATTAGGCTTGTTCATGGAGCGTTTCGATTTTCGACGACTCGCCTGTAAGATGGAATCTCTACGCTCCTGGTCTGTTGCCTCGTGGGTCCCCTGGTCCATCGATGCTTGGCCTGAGCCTGGTGCGTCGTAGCTAGGCGCGAAGCCAGAATTGGGGACCTCCATGTCGGAACCGAGGGGAAGAAAATGCGAAGGATATGGGTAAGACATGATGGAACCCTGCACTCCAAAGTCGGTGGCGTTGCAAAGTCGAATCCTTCTCGGGAAGTTAGGTCCATATAAAGGTCGGAGACCTTTACTGCTATACCCTTGATAAGCCTGTTGATGTCGAAGCGTCACACGATAGAGATGCGGAAAGGCGTTTCGAGGTGTTGGACCCTTTAGGCTGGCGATACAGTTTAGAATCCGGGCGTAACGTTGGTCGAGCCCTGCTGATGTTGGTCCGGAATGGAGGCTTCGTAGAAGCAATCAACGAAGATGCAGTGCGTTCTTGACGTTTGCCAACAGACACTTCTTCGAGGTGTCAACGAGGGGGCTACCCAAATGACGGGTCAAGATTTGCCGTTGATGTCGCGTTGGGTGCGGTACGGATAGAGCGCGGTTATGACCGATGCGGACACGGCACAAAGCGATGCCAGGGACGGACCAATCGAGATGATTTGAGTGGTCCAGCTAAGCTGCGAGTGCGGTAACGGCCAGGATGGTGTACCAAAGTCGGGAAGCTTTCTGAATGGGCTGCCGTCAAAATTGGGTCGGCTCCCCAAGTTTTTCCCGGTTCCGTGGGCTGATGATTACCACCCAAGTTGGGTAGGAAGGGGGTAGTCTAATAACAGCAACTGCAGACAGCGTATACCTGAATTCTCTGCGTTGGGATGCGTGTCATGCCGCTGTGGAAGTTTATATCGAGGGTATATTGGGTCGAGTCGGTTAATGGTGATGCTTGGGAGGTGTGACGTGGAGACAGAAAGACGAAGGTATCGAGCCTGAGAATGAGACCAAGACGCGGTCAGACAAGATTCAACCCTAAGTATGGTTTTGCATGATGTAAAGGCCAACCACGAAGGAGGAAAGAACGCACGAGGGAGAGATGACGAAAACATCCGAGAAAAGAAAAGAAAGGCACGTACCTTGCCAGTTAGAGGCTGCTGAACGATAGCGACTTGCTTCCTTGTTTCTCTGGGAAACCACCAGGACTACAACGGCAACAAGGGTGTCAACAACATGCTTTTGGTCTTGGGCATCCAGGTCAAGTTTTTGGAGTCGCGCCGTTATAGGGGAATGGGGCATCGATGGTGTGTACCTGATCTTTGGAGATGGTCGTCAAGGAGAAAACCGCCAATAGGCTTGCAATTCTAGACAGCAAATGCCTCTCGAGTATAAGGAACCCAGCCTTGGCTGTGTAATTCCCTCAACCTTGATATCCCAAATTTGAGTTCCTTCGGGGGCTCGCGAGTGTAAACAGGGTTTCTGGTTCACTATAGTAGTCGGTCAGAAGGTAGATGCAAGGCACCAACGGACAAGACGATTAAGGAGCAAATGGATAGAAACCAAGTAGCTTGTGGAGCATCAGGGAACCAGTCTCCAAGTGAATACACCAAAGGGGAAAGCACTCTGATGTTTACATACCTTGCTTGACGTGTGGCTGCATTCAGGTGCCCAAGTAGTACCACGCAGCTAGAACGTTGTGTTCGAATGCGAATGGACCGCGGCAGATGGATGTACCGTTCCAGCGCCACCAGATGAGAATCTCGGCTTATTAGTTGAATGTACGCGCTAACAGGAACGCTCTAGATGATTGATGGACGTTTGGTGACAACTGTACGTGGGGGCCAGGTAGCTTGTCTCAGCCAGCAGATAGAATGCTTCCGATTCGCCCGTCTGTTTACCGCTTCTTAAGACTCGTCTGATCGTAGGGCAGTCTCTCCGAGGCTGAGACGAAGACGTCGGGCCACGAGTTCGAGCCTGTGAGCCTTTGAGACTTTCGGAGCAGTCGTCGAGAGAGTGAGATGAGTTGCAAAGACTCGAGAGCTGAGTTGCTTAGGTGTGGAGCTAAGATGGTAGATGTGGCAGGTTTATAGAAAAGGGTTGTTGTAGCGATCTCAGTGGCGAGGGGCTCGCTGGAATCCTTCGGTCATTGGAGGAGGCCGGTGTGAGAATTTTCAAAAGAGTCCAGTCTTGTAGGGATGCAAAGCTGGTCAAATGGGGAAGACCCTGAAAACCTGGTTCTGGTCCCTTCCTGCTTCGGTCCACTCTGACATCGAATGATGATGCTCGGCCCTCTGCTTGCGTCTGCCGTGTGAGGATGGAAAGAGGATTGTAAATGAGGTCTCAGCCAGAGAGGTTGAACCAAACTCTAGACATAGAGAAGTGATTCAATAATGACAAGGGGAGAAGAACAAGGAGGTGCGGCGGGACGGCATGCAGTTGGCAAGAAGTTGAGGAAATTAGAGAATACAGCCAGAGGCCAAAGTCATCAGGCCGTTCTAATGACCCCAGAGTCTAGGCGAAAATGGAAAGTCAAGAAGAGCAAATGGGCTTTTGGATTCTGAAAAAGGTATCCTGAAACTGCTTCTCGAAAAGCGCTTGCCCAGAATAGTCTTTGTCCTTCTTCCCTTACCTTTCTGTGACGACCCTATACCATTGATCGTGTACCTAGATCGTTATTCGGACTTGATAAGCGCCGGGTAGTCTGGAGGCACTAGAATCAGCAGATGCTCTGCTTGTGATCTTCCCTCGACACTCCCTGGCACGATCCCTCGTCCGTGATGCGCACCGAGCAGACTCCCAAGCCAGACGGTGACCCTACAAAGGATATTGAGTAGCAAGCGCTGGGTACCCGGCGTCTCATCTAAGGCAGCGCAGCTGTCGATTGGCTGGTTGTCGTCACACTTCATCTCACCCCATCTCATATCCCATGCTCATCTTGCGAGCTCTTGGAGGGTGCTTGAACTGACCGGGGGCCACTCGCCGTCGAGTTGCCTCCAAGCGGCCCTTTCCTCCAACCCCTGCCCCATCAACGGGGATCTAGGAAGTGTGGGAGTGTGGATATGAAAAGCCTAGGCAGCCAGGGTGTGTTGGAGGGGTACGCAATTCCAGATGACAAGACAGAAGCCCAGATGCCATTCTCGAATCTTTTGCCGAAAATCAGGCACAGGAAGCACGCGGTCAGGTACTTCCGAGGGCTAAAAATTGGTGGGCATTGGCTTCTGATGAGGACATACCTCAATCGAAAGTGAACTGCTAAGAGACATGGCGAACTGTCTGACTGGTTTTGCTGCCAACCTGGAAAGTTGACCACTATACTTCGTACCCGTCTCGCTATAGGCGATAAGAGACTTATGGTCTTGACTCTCCAGTTTTTCCGAACGAATGCCTCATTCTACCGTATCCGCTTGTACCCCTGTTTGAGCCTGTCAGTTTTGCGGATCCTGGTGAAAGTAACGTCCAAGCACTGGTAGACTTGGGACGAAAGATGTGGGAGCTTGTCCCGCTACTTCCCTGCTCGCGCCATTGCGTCAAAGATTATCTTTAATCGTTGCTATCAGCCGTTGTTGTTCGCGAACTCCTCCACCTTGAAGTCTACAAGGAAGCTTATTGCTTCCAGACAGGTGCCGGACGTATCACCTGGTAGGTAATGCGAATTCTATCTGGTCACAACTTACAACAGTGCTTCCATGCCCTAGTCTCTCGCTCCATTGATGCCGCGGAGACTCCGCCGAAGATATCAGGGCCATGACACAGGAAGTTGAATACGTGCGATTCTCTGGGCAATCTACAATTCCTGGCCATACTGTCTGCAGGAATTGAAGGACCTCAAGGTTCGGGCGCTTCCGTCACTCGGTAGAGGCTATATGTGACTCAGTATTGTCTTGTCATCTACAATGCTAGACAGGCTGTGCCTAGTTGAGGAAAGATGGGTTACCGATGGCGGGTTGCAACCTCACCACGTTCGTGGCCCATGCGTCGTCTCCAGGAGCTAGGCCCGTGACCTTCCGTTGCCGTTGTCAGAAATCCCAAGAAAATCCCAAAGAAATCGTTATACGTAAGGTATCCGTAGAGTGCTCGTTGTGATTCAGGGGCAAGTCGCCAAGCGCGATGGAAACCAGTGGTCTGGACCATTAGACCCAGAAAGGCGCATATGGCAATGCGTCGCGCCCATCTTTGATGGATTGAACGACCCTTTCATCTCGCTTTTGCTCTTCATGCATGCTTTGACTTTGTCACCTCTGCAGCACTCGAAAAGGTTGCAGGGCTAGCGGCCCGCGGTGACACAGCTGCCGAGATGTTCCAGCTGCATGGGAAGTGCCTGAACCATCCCATGCCTCGACTCTCAATTGCGGGCGGCATCATCCGATCAAGCGACGCTACGTTGCTGCACGTAGGGCGGCGCGGCAAAGCAGAGCCTCGACCGACGGCCACTACCAGTACCGCTGCCACCACCACAACACTGGCTTCTCGGCGGGCGTGAGGAAAAGCCTCTCAAGTCCGGGACAGCGGACCAGAAAAGACGGCCTGAATCAGTTGAGTAATCTCGCGCAGGCTCAACTCGGAAGATTGTCATGACAACAACTCTGCGATTCGAGGTGTCGTAACAGCGAAGCGCTCGTGAGCAGGCCGCTACTTTACATTAATCCTGACGTGCCGCTTGACAGGCCAGAAAATCAATATTGGGTTATTGAATGATCCGCCAACGAGGTCACTTCTCGGGAGATGTGATTTCATCTGAGAGTTGGGACGAACTAGAGTTGACGATGGACGATGATCAAAGAGCATATTGCCCAAAGGTTCTATGTCCGCTTCCACCTTCACTTGCAGGACTTGATCTGGCATGATGCGCAGCCAGGATATGCCATCAAAAAAAAAGAAGCAGCCGCACTTGACGATGGTCTTCCCGAATTATGCTGTGGTGTTCCGCTGCACCCCGCATTTCCTTAGTTGTCGTTGTTGGCCCTGTCGCCGCAAGTCTCGGAGCATCGTCCCTTGAAAACCTTGCCGATCAAACCTGATCTGAATCATCCCAACGTCTTCGGAACTGACAGACATCAGACAACCGAGTCCCCTGGCACCCTGAACAGCAAAGGGACAGAAAAAAGCTCGGCCCGTTGTGTTGTGATTTTCTTCTTCCCCAACAAGCTCCACCCCTCTGTTAAGGAAGGTCTCTGATC